GCACTGGGTGTTATATGGAAACCAATTTGACAATAAATTTCATCTTAAAAAATAAAATAAAATAAAATAAAATATACATCTTTCCTGGCCTAAAATAAAATAAAATAAAATATGGCTTATTGTCGGCACTTTGGGAAGGCATGGATTCCTGTTCATTGGGTCACACTTACAGTATGAAACTATCTTTTGATTCTAAAATAGTTATCTTGTGAAAATATATTAGTTTTATACCAATAGAGTCCTATCTGCCAAACACAGTTACTTCTCTGTGATGATATGATTACATTGTGTAATGTGGCTTTAGCTAGGACTGCATACCTGTAGATGTTTTTAGAGAAGAAATATGATGTTATTTTTCAGAGATGAAGGGAAATCTTCTCTCTCTAAATACTTATATTGTATAATATTCAGCTGCCTAATTCCATGGGGGAAGAGGGTGACATTTACCTGTTAAAACACTCTGAATAAGATCTTCTGTTTTGGCAGGTGCCTTTACAGAACCTGAAATAAAGAAAAAAAAGAAACAGTCCCTTTAACTTTAACTTTTAAATTGTATTCTTCCCATATAACAATTAAGTTTGACTCTTGAGTGTAAATCTCTTTATGGATAAATAACAAAATGTAGGAGAAAATAATTTGCAAATAAATAAGTAAATAACCCAGAACATTCCAAACAAAGTCTTCATTTTGTTACTTTGAGGCAAACCTAAGTAAATGTGAATTTATATGCTTCATAAACACACTGAAAGGACATCCTTCCACTTTGATGCAAAACTCCTGTCAACAAACTCCATTTCAGCAATGCTATTGCCACCTTTTGGCCAAATCACGAATGGCAAGTGGGTTTTTTGTTTGTTTGTTTGTTTGTTTTTTTAAATCAACTGCTGGGACGCCTGGGTGGCGCAGTTGGTTAAGCATCCAACTCTTTATCTCAGTTTAGGTCTTGATCTCAGGGTTGTGAGCTCAAGCCTCACTTTGGCTTCCACCCTGGGTGTGCAAGCATGGAGCCTACTTAAAAAGAAAAATCAAATGCTGACCAGCAAGCAGTAATAACTGTGGCAGGCAATAGGTGCCTGGGTGGCTCAGTCAGCTAAGCGTCCAACTTGGCTCAGGTCATGATCTCGCGGTTCGTGAGTTCGAGCCCCGTGTTGGGCTCTGTGCTGACAGCTCTGAGCCTGAGCCTGCTTTGGATTCTGTGTCCCCCTCTCTTTCTTCCCCTCCCCTGCTTATGCTCTGTCTCTCTCTCTCTCAAAAATAAAAATAAACATTAAAAACAATAATTGTGGCAGGCAAAATCCATTCATTGGTGGATACCAGAATGACTGGACAAACGTTTAAGGAGAAAAAGGGTATTTGCATAGTCTTGAAGAATCTCCTCTAAGATGACTATTATCTATAAAGGAGAAATCATAAATTTCAGTTTAAAAACCTGGCAGACTCCACCTTAACCAAGTGATCGCACATCACTGATGATGAGAAATACTAACATCAGGTTTCCCTGATATCATGCATGGAGAAGGGCACAGCATTGTTTCTGCGATATGCTTGCCAAAATTGCAAAACTTCACTCTAATCATGAGAAAACATCAGACAAACCCAAATTGAGGGATATTTCACAAAATAACTGACCAGTACTCTTCAAAAGTGTCAAGGTCATAAAAGACAGGATAGATTGAGGGACTGTCATAGATTCAAGGAGCCGAAAGAGACATGACAATTAAATACAATGTGGGATTCTGAGTTGGAACCTGTAACAATAAAAAGACATCTGTAGGAAGTGAGTGAAGTTCAGTTCCAAGTACTGTGCCAACCAGGTCTGTAGTTCAGTTCCAAATACTGTGCCAACATTAATATCCTGGTTTGGTAACTGCCACCATGACTCTGACAGATGTTAACACTAGGGAAGAGGAGACCATTTTTGCAATGTATTCTGTTCCATTTTAAAAACGATTCTGTAAGTCAAAGTATTTCAAAATATCAAGTTAAAAAAATCAAGTGCTAAAATGCCAAATTTTCTTACACTCTCCAAAGCATAAGACTATATTTACTCACACATTTCAATGACTTATTTATATTCCAGAAGTACTCAAAATGTTTGTATTTGGTATATAAAAATCTTCATTTGAAAATATCACTCTTTATGATCAAATCTCAACCATTATTGATCTCAACAAACTTCTTAAAAGTACAGGCCGCAGTTCATGAGCATTTGATACAAATTCCATAGTATTTGTTCTTTTTAAAATCTCACTTTCCCCCATGAGAAATACACCTCCCCTCCCAAATAAAAGATCTGGATTTCATCACTACCATGCTGTAGTAGGACAAGGAGGGAAGAAGACGGGAAGCCATACCTTCATAAAAAGAAATTCTTCTCCCTTTTATTTACTTTCATATTAGCCCATTCAATAAAAAGTTATTAAGTACGTGATATTCCTCAGGTCTGTGCAAAAGAAGCATCAGATTGAAGCCTATCCTGTGAAGCCTACCATCTATTGGTAGATAGATAGAAAGAGGACATACAAATGACAGAAAATTGCCTAATGCAGTCTTAGATCAAGGTCAGAGTTAGCTGCACTGAAATCAAAGGATTTTTCTAAGAAGTGAGACATGAGTGGACTTCTGGGAAGGAGCAGAGTTGCTGAAAGCAAGAACTGAGTTCACAGGGAGCTATGCCCTGCTGACTTCACTCTTCACTACCTATGTGGCCTTCAGGAAGTGCTTCTTCATCTCAAAACCAGTTTCAAAAACAAACAAACAAACAAACAAACAAACCCCAGTTTCTTCATCTGCCCAATGGGGACAATGACAGAATCTACCCTTATAGCCCCAGTCTAAGGGTGAAGTGAGTCAATCCATTTGAAGAGCTGAGCAAAGTGCTCAGCACATGATTGACACCCAAGGTCATTGAAAAATAAGTTGAAGAAAGAAGGAAAGGAATTCTTGGCAGAGACCTAATTGGTGAGGTAGAACTAAGAAGATGCTTGTAAAGCGTAGCTGTTTAGGAGGTACATGAAGAACACTTCACAAACCCTGCCAGCACGTGGGTTATAAATAAAGACATGGAAATCTGGGTGATGCTTTGTTGTAGCTTTGTAAGTTATGGTCAGAGCTAGATAAGCACTCATGAGTCTCTTGGCATAAATAAATAAATTAATTAATTCATTCATCATACATTTTTGGCATTCATTCATTCATTCATTCAATACACATATCCTCCAAAGTCCATGCATCTGTGCTCACTTGATGCTCTAGGGAGCCAAATTGTGCTATCTCCTTCAGTGTCACAAATAAACTGGAGGCTCTCTTTTCAGAGTGTTTACCTGGAGCTGGTTGGCTGTGGGGAGCCTGGGAGGGTGGTTTGGGTGCCAGGGATGTAGTGTGATTCACTCCGTTTTCTGCTGGAGTTGTCCTGGCTTCACTTGGAGCTTCTGATGGTGTTTCCCCAGGATCAGCCTGTAATCATAAACATAGTTTCACTTTTCACATTTTTTCCCCTGTTCTTTTATGACCTTCCTAAACCAACAAGGCTACATTTGATAGAATTTTCACAATTCATTTGGAATCTGAAATATCCAATTGAAGCGTCTAGAGAGCAGGGTAAAAACAGCATGGTGTTTAACTGTGACTATGGTAGGTTAATTGTATTAAAAAGCCCCAGTTTGTACACCTTCCAATGTCTATGCCCTTTTGTAGTGCCCTCTCACATTGACTCTGGATATGATCATGTGATTTGTTTGGGCCAAATAAGAGAATAGCAAATTTGATGCAAGCAGATTGAAAAGGCACTTGTGATTTTTTCCCGTCTTTCTCAGACCCCTGCTACAGCAGTGAAGGATGAGACTTTGTGGAGGAAAGCTGAGTCATCTAGGTAAGGATCTCCTAGACCAGCCAGCCCCAGGTGATGACAAACACAGGAGTGAGTCCAGCTAAGATGAGCTGAGCCTGGTCCAAAGCAGCAGAACTGCCCCACTGACCAAATGACTCATGAAAAGTAGTATGTAGACGTTGATGTTGCAAGCCACTACATTTCAGAGTTGTGTGTTATGCAGCCATAGCTAATTGTTACAATGGTTACAAGCATAGAATTTGGAGTCAAACTTACCTGGGTTCAAATTCTGGCCCTGCCACTTAATAGCAGTGCAAGTCACTTAACTCTCTGCTTCAATTTCCTCATCTTTATAGATGAAGATATGTATGTACTGGGTGTCCTAATATTACCTACACTCTAAGATTGTTTAAAGGATCCAATAAGTTAATTAAAATGTTTTTATATGTTTATTTATTTTTGAGAGAGAGAGAGAGAGAGAGAGAGAGACAGAGCATCAATGAGGCAGAGACAGACGGAGAATCCAAAGCAGGCTCCAGGCTCTGAGCTGTCCGCACAGAGGCCAATGTGGGGCTTGAACCCATGAACTGTGAGATCATGACCTGAGCTGAAGTTGGACGTTCAACCAACTGAGCCACTTAGGCGCCCCTCAAATAAGTTAATATTTACAAAATTCTTCGAATAGTTCCTGGCAAAAAGTGAATAGGTGTGTGTAAACTAAATAAAGCTTTTAAGCTTGTGCAATACTATCGTTGAATAATCATAATTAATGCACTGGAATTTATGAAATCTCCACTCCATTCCCTCTGGCAGCTAGTCCACTGTGTCCTATGTGAAATAGACTTTTAATAAATGTTTGTTGAATAAGTGTTGTTCCTTATAAAATAATTGCCTCAGTGGTCATCACATACCATTGCAATGAAGCTTTTCAATTCTTAATTGCTCTGCAACTCTTTTCTTAGAACTGCCTTCCAGGTTCATGGCAGACATTACTGACAATGGCTAACCCAGTGTTCTACTTTGTAGTACAAAAATATATTAGGAGATATCCAGAAGTCATTCAGAACCTAACATTATGACATTTTCTCATGTAATTACAAATAGCAGAAGGTCCTATGAAAATATTTTTATAAAATGTAAGATGAGAATGACTGTCACAAGTGGCTTTTACACTGTCCCCCAAAGCATCGTTAAAACATGAGTTCCAAAACTGCTTTAAATGAGAGCAGAACTTATTTTAATTCAGCAAATCATCCCTATGTATCTCCCATGGCCTGCTCATGACTAGTGTTATTGAAATGGAAGAGATAAACCCTGGGACTAGTGGCTGGAAGTGAAGGGGGAAGGCAGGAACCTAACGGAGAGGCTCAGCCAGCCAACAGAACTCACCATGCTAGAACTCTGCCTTTTGAAAAACGGCTACTTTGGATGGGTAAATTCTGGTTTGGCTGCGTTATTAAGTTACATCCATCAGGAAAATTATCCCTAGCATCAATTTGCCAAAGAGAAGGATTGTATATTTTTTCTTTACCAAGAAATTGCAAACTGGGGGCACCTGGCTGGCTCCGTCAGAGCAGCATGTGACTCGTGATCTCAGAGTTGTGAGTTTGAGCCCCACGTTGGGTGCAGAAATTACTTAAGTAAATCTTTTTTAAAAATTGCAAACTGGAGGCATAGGGTCCAAACAGAGCACATGGAAATGTTTTCTTGGGCTCACCCGATGTTGCCAAGTATTTTAATTAAGGAGTTTCTATGTTAATAAAATGGATTTCTTACTTTTCTTGAAAAATACAATTGGCAACACTGGGCCTGCATTCCCCGTGTTGGGCTAGAATCTAGTGGTTTCTGCCCCTCTGTGGATCATTTCCTCTTTACTTATTTAGACTTTTCCCGCCTCACTCCTGCAGGTGTTTGGGTCTGTGGGACACTTGAGAAGGCTGAAATGCCATAGGTGTTTGCCCACAAAATTCATAAAGGATATGCATTTACAATGCACAGGAGGGACTGAATGAAGGGGAAGGTGGGAAACAGCATTGGGACATCAGCAAAGTCATCTTCTGGGCCTTGTCCCCTGGTTTGAATAAGGTAGGGGAAAGCTCCCCAGCCTCCCAGCCACAGGAGGTGCCCAAACTCAGCTGCCTGGGAGACAGGGAAGGAAGGTGCTCCTGTTCCATGGGCATCTGACCTTCCCCATCGATAGCCTGGTAGGTTTCTGGAACAATGTGGGAGATAAGTCACATTTTCCCCAATGTGATCGCTGGCTAAAATCAGCCCTCTGGAGAAAGCTAGGGTAAAAGAAAATTTTGATAGAGGAAAGAAGGAGGTGATGGCAAGCCAGCTTCCATGAAGGCAATGACATGTGGCTTTTTTTGGCAGCCAAAATTAGTGTCTTGGGGGTATCAGGCTAAAAATGTGCTCAAAATGAATCCAGCCAGCTTATTTCTGCCTTGTATCAGGTTTGCAGACATTCCATGTAGCTGTATGCCCTTGGGAAACCAAGCTCAGTCATCAACTTGAGTCAGGTTGAAGGAAAAATAAGTCTTTGCTTATCAAGGTTATGTAAGACAAAGCCCTACATCCCAGAAACTGACAAAATGTATCAATTCAGAGGTTTTTTTTTGTTTGTTTGTTTTTTAAAGCAGATAAATGTTGAGTAAACATACAGGCACACACTTTATAGCTGTAATTGAGGATAAAGAGACCAGCAAGGTTCGGTGCTGGATTTTGAGGTAAGCTTTGGAGAAACGCTCACTCAGTCCAGCGTTAAACACAGGTAGATGCCTTCCCAGGCAAGGTGGATTGTATTGCATAATCCCCAGGGGGCGCCATTCACACGGTATATTAATGGACAGTTAATGAAAATGGTGGAAATGAGCAAAGCGGACCGGATTTAATGCAACAGGACAAAGTAGGGCCATGCCCGGAGCTGGAGAGGGGGCTCCTGGAAAGGGGGCAGCTGCCACTCAGCTTCAGCCTTTAAATGCCCAGGCTTTGAGTAAAGCTGGATAACTTTTTTGCATGAAATCTGCTAATTTTAAATCACTGAGGCCAAACCACATCTTCAGATCACATCTGGCCCCGAAGCTGGCCATCTGTACACTCTGCTTGGAGCAGCAGAGTTTGCCCGGAATTCTGTGACTGTGTCAGGGCGGGCAATGCACCCACAGTAACAGTGGAGTGAGAAGGGTATGCTGGAAAGGCAGTGGGCCGGATGATCTGCAGCCCACCACATCCCACCTTCTTGCCCCAGTGGCCGGACAAAGGTGGAAAGAAAAGGATGGGTGAGGAGGACTAAATGCTGGACTAAGGAATTTGGGGGCTCCTCAACATTTTATTGTTTTTGTTATTTATTTATTTATTTGTTTGTTTATTTTTTGTTGGTTGACACTTGTCAGGTGTTTCTTACGATATTCTGAAAACAAATTTTATTTATTAATCTAGTGAGAATCTATAGCGGCAAATTGAGAAGACTGGTGTTTAAAGTATTTTGCTAACCAGGGACACTACGTACAAATTCTAATTGACCCTTCCCTCATGGAAAGTGGTAACAGACAACTGTCAATCACCGAGTGCTTAATCTTGTTAGATACACCAGCCTCACTGAGGCCAATGTAGGCTGCCCCTTTGACTCCACTGTAAAGAAAAGAAATCCAAGGTGTTATTAAAGGTCTTTACTAAATACTTTATTAAAAGTCACAAAACTTGCTAGAGTCCACACAGCAGCGGAATGATGTCTGAATATGTGTTAGAGTCTAAAGCCTGAATTTCACTATGGGTCTCCTTCACTCTGTATTCTACACTAACAGCAACGTTTACAGAACTACAATAGTAACTTCACTTGCTGCTGAAATACAGAGATGTATAAATGTAAACATCATTCTCAAAGAGCTTACTCTGTTACACTGAAAAGGCATTCAGGTATAAAAGGCTAAATGAATTAAATAGAACAGCTACACACAAGAGCTGAAAAATTAAAAATATCTATAGTAATATAACATTATAAATGTTTTGACATCATCACTGAAAGGTTGAGTAATTCCCCTTTATAGATATGTAAGCTGAAATGCAAAAGCCAAATTCCTTATCCTGCTCGAAAGAATCAGTGGAAGTCAACACCCATGACTTTATTTCTCCCCAGGCTTTTCCCAAATATTCTTTTTTAGGAATTCAAATAAAATAAACATGAAATCCTTTCATATTGTAGTGAAAATTACTATAGAAACAAAGAACAAGAAATGTCTGCTTTTTCAGTTTAATGGAGAGATTCCTGGGATCCAATGAAATAAATTCCAAAGAAAGAAGGTTCAGAGAATATAGTGTTTTAGTTGCACTGGATACTGCTTAGTTGGGTGGAAACAATTGTGCAGCAGAAGTGGGTGCCTGCCCTCTAATGGCCAAATTGGAGAATTACATTTTTCTCCTTCAAAACATGGAATAAAGGACTTGTTAAAGCCAAGATTTTATGTAAAAAACAATATCCTTCCTATTTCCAAAATGAAAAGAAGTAAGTTTAAAATATAACACAAGTAGGTCAGTAAAAGGATAATTTGAAAGGCCATTTTTACAAGTGTTGGAGGAGATGCCATTTGGTACACTGGTTGAAAAAATTTCCATCCAGGACATTGCA